ACCCTCAAGATGAAAATTGATTGTAAATCACATTATATCTCTTTGACATTCTCTCAATTTTATTTTTTCAAAACTCTCGTGTATTCAATAAACAGTTTTTTTTGCGGTTATTCTATTTCTCTCTTATGTGTTTTATTAATTTTTAAAAATGACGATTTTAGTTCATATTTCTCCTCAGTGGAAACAAAATATATGTTATAATCATGACAAAAGTATAAATAGTAGCATTTAATTTACTACAATCAATTTAGATAGAAATCAAGAAAATAATCAAGATATAAGAACAGCTAAAACTTTAAATCAAATATTAGATGATATTCAAATAAATTCTTCGCAAACTGAATCATGTTGTTGCAATTATAATCAATCGAATAAAATATCTAAATTCGAACACAAACTTTTTCATAAAGATTCAGTTGAATATATTTACAACATCGAATGTATTACAAATAATTTTTGTTTTTGAGATTTATGATTAGACATTTGTGAAAATAATGACATTCCGTTCAAAATTTATATTGATTTAAACAAACTCTTTTTTCAAAAGAAAACAGAAATAGACATGTTCTCTTACTCTTAAACAGAACGAAATACAAAAAAATACTCTACAATATCTGAACATGCGCACGAAGCAAAAGCAAAAAAAAAGATTCAATATAATAATATGACAAATTCGAAAATAAAGTATTGAAAATCACAGCAATGATCATCATGTATCAATTTGATCTCCATGAATATTTTTTTCAACACCAACAAAACGTAAATGATGATTAGCACCATAACGATAATCAAAAAATAATTCATCTCCAGCTGATATAAATCGTTTCGAATAAATACCAATTCTATGATCACCATTAACCATAATAACTTTAGCATAACAATTCGGATTAATTGAATGATTTGCAAAACGTATTTTATTTCCACGACGTGTTGCATCAACCATATATTCTTCATTGAGATCAAATAAAAAACTTGTACCAATTGTATCATACATACGTCCACGTAATTCACCTTCATCTTGTGTTAACTAAATAGAATAATATAATTGATTAATACTCATTTATTTTTCATATTCTTACTATTTCTCCACAATATTCAGCAATAAATTCATTTCGTTGAATATTAACTTGTGTAAATATTCCCCAACCAGCAACATCTGATTCAGATAATAATAATGGTTTATGTAAACTACGTTGTATAGCAACATTATGACATGAACATGTAGATTTCGTTATTAATTCAGTATTAGTCGTATCACCATTTCGAAAATCATCTGCACCACATTGTATACATAAATCTGGATCACATTCACGTGATGCTGCATAACATGGACATTGTTTTGTTGTACATGATGAACGACAACGACAACCAGGAAAACGATTATCACATTTTATTGATGAACAACAACAATATTTTTCACAAAAATTACCCGAACGAATACAATAACAATGTTCATTACAGAGCATAGAACGATCATGATCACATGGATAATATGTATGACGTTTTTGTTCTAATAATAAATTATTATGATGATTTAATAATATATTTTGATGACTACGTTGACGACGAAATGATGAAGAATGAGAACGACGAGATGATGATGTAGAACGATTTGTATTTGTCTAAAGAGGAATTATTAAACTAAATCATGCAATGAAATTCTTACCGATTCTTGATTATCATCTTCATCGACAATTGATTGTTCAACATTATCTGTACCATTTACTTTTCTCTTTTTATAATCACCATTGATTTTCATATCAATTGATGGTAATAATTGTTTAATTTCATTCAAATAAAATCGATAAGCTTCTGAACATGGTTTATCGAGTAAATCAGCAATCATACATATATTATTATCATAGATAGCATGAAATACTCGAAATAAGGATTTTTCACTTGATGACCAATTTGGTAATTCATTATTGAATTTATGTTTTATGATCGGTTTAAATAGAAAACCATTTTTATAGAAATCTAACTCCATAGATGAAGATATATCTTCAGTTTTAATTAGATTCGATTTTGTACGTTTGCAAAAAAGAGTATTTGAAGAAATTTTATCGATAACTTCACTATAACTTCGTTTAAGTTCAATTTTAGATCGTCTTTGTTGATAGGATGATTTGGGATTTGTTCGATAACATTGAGAATTACATGGACGATAGTTTATATCACAATTTTTTGATTGTTTGTTTAAGTCAGGTGTAACGGGTTTATCTTTATGTAAAAAACAATCGTATCGATGACAACGACGACAAAAAAGCATAAAATAGGAATGTAATGTATTCTCCATGGTTGTATCTTGTGCTAATAACATATTATCAATATTTGGAGTAAATTCTTTAGGTGGTAAACGTTTTGATTCGAATATTGTACCAAATCGATCACGAATTAAATCAGCAGAAGATGGATAAAATTCTAGAAAATAAAAAAAATTGCTCCGTCTAGTTCAGAATAATTTTTGAATCGTAAATAGTACTTACTAATTAATGTATCAAATAAATTCATTTCATCTTCAGATGTCAATGGTGAAGAATTTTGTTCCGACTGTTGTTTGAGACGTTTTAATAATTCTAAGAGATGTTCTTCATCAAAAAGAAATTCATTATTTCGATCATTTAAAATCGATGTTTTCGATAAACGACTTGTACGTTTTAATGATGAAAATAATCGAATTGCTAGAAGAAAATAATTTCATTTATTTGTAATACTAAATAATAAATTTGATTTATACTCTGTTGTTGTTCAGCTAATGAATCGGATTGTATAGAAATTAGAAGATTTTTAACATCTTCGTCATTTTCATCAAAAATCAAATCAGATAAATTTGTAACTGTATCACACTAAAAATAATGAATAGATTTACAAAAATATATGAAAATAATTTACTAAAAAATTGCTTTGTAATGAAACATAAGTAAATAGATTAGGTAATGGATCAATTTGAGGTAAAATTGATAATGAACATATCATTTTATCACCGGTTATTTCATCAAAAGAACAACTTGTATACAATGATGATTTAACATCTTTGAACATTGACTCAGATATCATACGTGGTCGACGTAATTCATTATATTGTTCGGCAATTTTTGTAAGTAATGGTCTTAAAACAACAATCATTATTTCAATTGATAGATAAATAAAGAATCAATTATAACTTACACTGCATCAGATCGTTGTCTTAAATCAATAGTACGACATACATATTTCAATCCTCGTTCAATTCGATCTTTCCAAATTGAATCGATCATGCTGCTGCTATTCTCAACAACAGCAGTTGTCATTATATGTTATATATTATACAAATTTTTATTTTTTATCATTTTTTTTTATAATTTAAAATAATACAAAATCAAAAAAAAAATTAAATCTAAAACAAATAAAGTATCAATCAAAATCATACAAACATGAAAAGACATTATGCATATATATTAACAATGACTGACCTTTTAATTACTTATTTCATTCTTCAAATACAAACGAACATATTGGTGGCGCTAGATTATCAATAGATTATGAACCAATGAAAATAACAAAAAATTCATCTAGAACTAGAATATTGATTTAATATGTTAAAGAATAATCATTGATCAATAGATATACCTTTCACTATGATTCCTTTGTCAAAAAACAAATTATTTGCATATTTTTTTTCTCTCAACACAAAGCTTTATACAAAAGATTTCCTTGACTATGATTCTCAGCTATCTTTCTAAATGTTACTTGAATCAATCAATGCTGTAAACTAGTTATTAAAAATTAGCAAAGTTCACCTGTATATTCTGAGATGTTCTTTGTAATGTAAGTTTCCGCGTAAAACAACTCATATTCAATTCCAAGCGCCATCTATTGTTCAATTATTATTTATTGGTTATAGGATGAACTGTTGAAAAAATAGTGAGAAATAATAACAAACAAACTCATCATCTTATCGTTTCGGCTAGCTAGTTAACCATCTAGGTCATTCAATCAAAACTGTCAATGTTAAATTGTTCTTTCTTATTCAATTTGTAGATTACTTTTTTATTGTTTCTTAGTTTTAATAATTAAAAAAAGATTATATAATTTTTTTCTATGCCGCCACCACTACCACCACCAGCATCGATGGCAACACGTAAACGTACTCGATCAACAAATGTTGCCGAAAACAATGTTGATCATCAACAAGTAACAGCAGTAGCAGCAGCATCAACAGCAATGACATCATCAATTAATATGTCATCTATGCCACCAAATACAAATGTTGTTAATGCTCCACCTAAACGACAACGTAATAATCCACCATCAACAGGACCACCTCCACCTATTGCTCCACGTACAAATTATTTACTTCGAAATCGTTCTTTAACACCTGATCCTCGTCATCCATTAACACGATTTCCATCTCTGAATACGACAGCAACAACAAATCGACAACGATATAATTTACGTCAACGTCATGCACAATCACAAATTCGTTTACCTCAAGTTCCAACACCACATCCAACTGTAGCACCACGTCGTATTCGTCGTCCAATACCACCAGCAGCTCAAACATTACTATCATCATCGTCTACAAATATTACTCAACCTTTATCTTTACCTATTGTACCTCCTACTCTTCCTCCACCGCTACCACCACCTCCAATTCCTATTCTTCCAATGAATCCACCTAGTGCACTTTCAACACCACCTGTTATACAACCACGACAATATCGTCTTGTTTATTTATCTGATGAGGATGATGATCCATCCATAACAGCACAACCAACAGCAACTCTTGTTAATACAACACTAAATTTAATAACAGATGATGAAGGTGATGAATCTTTAAGAGCACAAGGTGCTCGTCGTCGAACATCAAGAACAACATCAAATACTGGTTTTAATACACGGTAAAAAGAAATAAAAAATTATTTCATTTTCTTATTTTCTCTTATCTATAGTTCACGTACTGCTGTAACAATTCCATCGAGTGCATCATCATCCTCCTCATCAAGTTCAACATCAACTATAAATACTCAAGAATTTATTAGTGGTGTTGCACATGTACGCTTAAATCGTGCGATTGAAATTGTTATTGATTCAATTCAATCACTCGAAGGTGCTGTAAATAATTTTGATCAACTTGTATTTGGTCTTATTTATGGTCGTTTGGGTACACGAACTGAATTTGAAAGTATTGAGGTAAATAAATTTATAGATTATATTTTCATTTGATGATTAAAATTCTGCAAAATTTTAGGGTATGATCCGTTTGTCACGTATACTTAATCTTAATGTACCACCATCACGATTAACTCAAGCTGAAATAGATGAATTACCAAAAATAATTTTTGTAAATAAAACAGGTCCAACATCATCAATTCATTTAGTTGAAAAATGTCCAATATGTTTAAGTGAATTTGATGATCAAGAAACAATTAATAAACTACATTGTACACATTTATTTCATTTACAATGCATTTCAACATGGCTTAGTGTATGTTAATTTTAATTACTAGAATAATTTGTTTTTCTTATTCGAAACGATTTTATTTTTATAGGAAAATGATTCATGTCCTACATGTCGTCGTAAAGTAATGGGAAATTGAAAATAAAACAAAACAAAAAAAAGACAATCAATCAATTTGTTTGTTTGTGTGCCATACTGAATACATATATAAATATCTTCGTTTGTTCTACTTTTTTTTTCTTCATTCGTCTCAAATTAACAATCTCAAAAAAAAACTCAATATACATATATGAAAATCCCGGTGAGAGTTTCTTTTTCTCTTTATATTCAGTCATTATTATGTCTGAGTAAGAGATATTTTTTTGTATGTTCATTCCAACTATGTTCTTTATTCTTGCTAACTTTAATATATGTTTTTCCTTCTTATTCTCTTTTCACTTTTTTTTCTCTTGTTAAAATTAGCGTAATACACACTCTTATATTCTTGTTTGTTTTTACATTTCTGAGTGTGCATGTCTTCTGATGTTGGTATATTGATTATTTAGTAGAATGTTTTGTGTGTGTGTGTGTGTGTGTGTGTGTGTGTGAAAGCAGCACCTATATATATATAAAGATATTTACACATATATATATACAAGGATATTATGAATAAAAGTACAGACAAACGCATTATCTGTGCGTCGTCCGATAGCTGATTTCTTGATTCTAAATGGCATTGGTATAAATAACATGGAGAAAATGAGAATGATTTATTAGATTCATTGATCAGTGATGTTGTATGACATCATATAAAAGGAAATAGATGATCACCACATGAATGCAAGTCTATTGACTGAGGATTTTCTAGCGGCAAAAAAATAATATAAGATATGCATATTCTCATGTCGTCAATATATATGTACATTATAATAAAGTATAGCATTTGTATTGATCATGCTATTTATTTCTTTTCTCTTTCTATTCTAATCAATGCTCTTTTCTTCAATATTATTATCTCTATCTTTATTCTCTATTATTTAGACATTTTCTCTTTCTTTTTTGATCGCAACCATACAGAGAAGATATATAAATAATAGTTGTAATAAAGGTAACATAAGCAACTGTTGAAAATAGAACAATGCCACTAACAAGAAAACATCGGATTATTATTGGTAGTATAGTAGCTATACTAGCCTGTATTCTTGCAATTGGTATTACTATTGGAGTTGTTGCCGGTAGACGAAAATCTACTCCATTAACAATTCAAGAGCAAGTAAATCAAATACTTGCAAATAATCCATTAATAGATGGGTAAGCATAATGCACTTTATATGTCGATTAATGATAAGATTAAATTCTTTTTTTAATAAATATTCGATGTAAAATGAGAAGAGCAAAGAGCTGGCTTTTCAATAATCTATTGCGAATGATTGATATATGATTTTATTCAATGTGCAGTTATTATCATGTCAATTTTGACTTGTCTCAAGCAAACTAGATAATAACTACGTTTTGTAAAATATCAAGAAACTATAATTTAATCTGTCTATCAACTTCTATCGATAGTTCTATAACATAAATAAATATACTTTCCTAGACACAATGATTGGGCTTGGCTTATTCGAGCTAATTTTCAAAATCGTATCAATGATCTTGATTTATTCAATATGACTCAATATCAATTAAAAAATACAACACCATCACATACTGATATAACACGTTTACGAAAAGGTCAAGTTGGAGGACAAGTTTGTATTTTAATTTGATTTTTATTTCTTATCAAAAAATGAAATCTTAAATTATGACTAGTTTTGGTCAATCTATACGGGCTGTGAACATCAAGGAAAAGATGCTACAGTGAGTTTTATGGAACAAATTGATGTTATGAAACGATTAATAGCTAAACATCCAGATATATTTCAAATGGCTACAACAGCGAATGAAGTTCGACAAGCATTTTCTAGTAAACACATAGCAAGTTTATTTGGTATAGAAGGTGGACAAGCTATTGAAAGTTCATTTTCTATCTTGAGACTTTTCTATCAAATGGGTGTACGATATATGACATTAACACATAATTGTAATACTCCATGGTAAAACAATAAATTAATTAATCTAGGTAAAACATTTTGTTTAATCTAAGGGCTGATCAAAATAAAGTCGATCGTAATGATTCAGTATTAATAAAAAATAATGGTTTAACAGAATTTGGTAAAAGAGTTATAGCAGAAATGAATCGACTCGGAATGTTAGTCGATCTATCACATGTTGCAAGAAAAACAATGTTAGATGTATTTAACATAACTCGATCACCAGTTATATTTAGTCATTCATCGGCTTATACAGTATGCAATCATACACGAAACGTTCAAGATGATATACTTGAATTAGTCGTATGTATTATTATGAATGTCAATAAATCTATAAGTATCTGAAAAATTCTTTATTAGAAAATAAATCAAGGTATAGTCATGGTTACATTTGTACCTGGTTTTATCGTATGCAGTGATACAAATAGAGGAACAATTGATGATGTTGCTGGTAGAATACTTTTTTTCTTTATTCAATAATCTATTATTCTGTTATATATAGCACATATTAATCATATACGTAATACTGTCGGTATTGAGGGCGTGGGTCTTGGTGCTGATTATGATGGTATTCAGACGTATGTATATTTTTTAGTAATAAATTTATTTTGACATAATATACATATGTTATTAATATAGAACACCAATTGGACTTGAAGATGTCTCAAAATTCCCCAAATTAATCGAATATTTATTATCGCAAGGAAATTGGACACATGATGATATTATTAAACTTATTGGTGGAAATATTTTACGTGTAATGGAAAAAAATGAACAAGTAAAGATGATTTTTTATTTATTAATATATATTGTCATTTTTTTTAGATTGCACAAGAACTTCAGAAGACAATGAAACCAGAAGAAAATTTAATAAGTATTAATGAATTAGAAACATATAATCTGACACAATGCCGAAACTTGGATATGTATCCATCAATAGTAACAAATGCAACTTCTTAAAGAAAATAGTCCTATTTGATTTGTAGTAGTTATATATTATTATTAAGTTGTTTTGATCCCAACAAAATTCTTGTTGATTTCGATGATCTAGTATTGTTTTTTTTCAAGAAACACATAATTAAGTCATTGTTTTAATAAGTAAATAAACATACTGTGAAACAAGAAGACTATAATGACGTTTATTTGTATCATTTGAAAAGGATTGATCATTTTCATCATCGATTAAATTATTCTGAAATAAAGATTTTCGTATGAATATTAAATTTCTTTTCTCTTTACCTGTTCAATATTTTCTTTATTATTATCATCATCATCATCATGATGAATGACTTCAATTTTATCGTGAATTACTAAATAAAACGAATTTCTTTTTCTATGAATATTTATAATTATTATTTTTCATACGAGGAGAGACAATTTTAGCGTGTCGTTGTCTTGAACGAATCGAACGAGAACGTGAACGAGATTTTGAACGAGCACGTTTTAATTCTCTTGATACTCGATGAAATGTAGCTTCAGTTTGAATAAGATTCGTTGTTATACGATACAATCGTTCATTATGAATTTCTGTACGACTTTGATATTTATATGCAAAATGTATAAGAATTAATAAACAACAAGACCAACAAATCAAACGCCATTGATAAAAATTAATTATCTATTAAAAATGGAATTATTAAAAGATAAGAAAATTCTTAAGAATAAAATAAATTCATACTGAAGACATTTGACAATAACGTTCAAGAAGAACATAAATAAACATACCAGAAAATAAAATTGATCTAAATTAAATCATATAATTGTTAAGACTTACAACAGAAAATGATTAAGTTCAAACTATTAGTAATGTTCTCAGAAAATTAAATTTATATAATAACCTTGCTTGATTTGTTCTCTGTGGGATGGTGATAATATAGATAGCAAACATCGATAACATATAAAACCAAAATGAATATGTACATGTTATTCGTACTATTGTTTGAATTGTTTGAGATAGAGCACATATCTAATCATAAATATAAAGAAATTTTTCATGTTGATTAATTATTTATCAAGTTATTTTACTTGTTTAAGTAAATCATATTCATGACGAGCTGCTTGTATAACACTGCTAAGAATATCTTGTGTTTTATCCATATTTGTTCGAGCTAATTGTTTAAGTTTAACAGCATTGGTAAGAATTGTTTCTTGAATATATTGTTGATGTTTTATTTTATCTGTTAATTGATGTTGTAGATCAATCGATGATATTAATTTCGTTATTGTTTCTTGAGAATTCTCAAGAAACAAAGTTAAACGTGATGTTAATTCAGATTGATACGATTTCTGACGAAGAACATAACAAACACTTTGAACAAATGGATAAAATTCTGTATAAGCTAAAAGAGACGAAAAAATTATTCATTTATTAGTTAAAAAGATATTCTTCACCAATAAATGCATTCATATGTTGATGAAGTTTTTCAATACATAATTCAACATTAGTTTCACTACATTGTATATTTGATAAATCATGATTCATTGAAGATAAATGACAAAGAGTAAATTGATAAGCGATTAATGATTGATATTTATCGAGTTCATCAATTGAACAATGTTTATGTAACATTGTTAATACATCATGCCAACATGATGATGTTGATGATAATGATAAAATTTGTTCATATTTTTGTCGACCATTATCAAACATATCGCCAAAAGAAAATGAACCGATCGTTAAAAGTAGTAATAATTTCAAAAAGTGAAACATCTTTTTTTTGTTGATTTTCGTCTATAAAGTCTATTTATTGATTAAATTTTCTTCTAGTTTATTTATTAAGAGAAAAATTTTATTTATTCTCCATACACAAGACATAACAGACAATAAGAAGAACAAAAAAAATAAATGACAAGATCAATTAAACACCGTACATAATGTCGATATAAACACAACCGGAATAATATATATGTAACTATTACAATTAGTTTTATGATTTTGTCAAATACGAAATGAAAAAAAAAATATTAGTAATATGAATCTACAAATGTATCTAATTGTTTTTGTTTTCGAAAATATTTATTTATTCTTGTTCGTCGTCTTTTTCCTGAAATATAGATATAAAAATATTTAAAAGATGATTTTGAAAACAAAAATGTTACTTCAAGATCTTCTTCGTCTTCATTTTCACCTGGTTCACCATCTTCTTCATCATTTGTTGTTGCTGCCTAATGAACGAAAAATATTTTTTTATTTCGAAAAAATAAAATTTTCTTACTAAATAATATTGAAGAGGATTAACAAATATATCATCTTTAATAACTTCACCAAATTCATCATTGCCTGTTTCACCAGTTGTATCCATAAACCAATTCATGAATACACCATGTTCATCATCACTATCATTATCACGTGAACGTTTATGTGTAATAGATGTCGATTTATCTCCATCATTTTTCTTATTATTCGTTGCTTGACCATTTTTACTTCCCTAAAAAAAAGAATTTTCTAAACAAAATCTTCATTTTCTATTTAAACATACATTTTTCCATCGAACTGTAGTTGATTTACATTGTGTTTCACTTGAATCTGTAACACTATATTCTTTAACAAGTACATCATTTTCGAAATGTGGATTTGTATCGAATGTCTAAGATAAAAAATTTGTTTTAAAACAAATAAACAATCGATCAAGAATTAACTTACAAATTTAATACGATAGCCTGATTTAATATCTTCATGCTAAAAATAAAATAGAATTAGATAAAAAATTTATTTAAAATCAAGATTTACTTCTTCAACATCAACACGTTTAAGATGTTGTAAAATATCTTCATCATTTTGATTTAAACAACTTGATAATTGAGGATGATTAAGAAAAACACTTATCCAAAATGATGGAATTTTACTAATTAAATCCGAACGTTTTTTATAATTTGGTTGCCGAAGTTTATTATATTTTTGTTCAACTTGAAGAATTTCTTCACTTGCTTGTTCATTAAGACGATCAATTTCATTTTGTACATCACCAATAACTTCAAATGCTTTTTGCATTTCAACTTCTACAAAAAAAAGCGAATAAAAATATCAAAATATTAAATAATATATTCCCTACCATCAAGTTTAATTTGTTTGCTATTAGGTCCTGACATTTTGTTCGTAAAAAATATTATTTCAATATAAAAATGAGATATTTCGAAATGAAGCCGTTCCGTTAGATGGTAATAAACAAAAGACACACTATGTCTTTTATGCTTATTATACAATTTTTTAACCAATAGCAAAATTGAATTATATTTCTTTTTGCCAGCATATTTCGCGATTTGAATATAGCGACATCAGTGGAAATATTAAGTATTCAATGATAAAATTCTCAAGAACTTGTCCTTACTGATTATTCTTAATCCATTTCACTATTGAATTCATGAAGGTTAGGAAGATATTTACTATAATTATTTTCCTAATAGACAAGATTGTTTTATCCTATAGATACCTTATGATGTCGTATACATACACATTAAGAACAACAGATCTTTTTGTATATTGACATCCGCTCATATATATATTTATGCATACTGAGTCAAATAATGATTGATTATCTTGCTTGTCATTAAGATTAGAGACTTCTTCATTATTCAACACACCTTCGACGAGAACGGAAATTGATTATATGGTCTCAACTATTCTATTTGCTTACGTCAATAGACATATGATTGAACGATAAAGAAGAAAAAAAAACCTAGATATGTTGTAATGATGATAATGATCTAGTCTCACATTTTTTTTTAGTCGTTCTTTAACAATCGAGATAAATTACATTTACATAAAGATTATGAGTAGTGAACAAGAACAAATCTCTTTATCCAATTCATTCAAGTATTTTTTTTTCTATATCGGTTCAAATCAATATAAAGTATTTCTTTTCTATTCTTTAACAATAATAATAATAATATCTATTTTATTTTCTCATTATAACATTCATTAGGTTTGTTATTTTTCTATTCCATATCAATAACATATAGTATGAATTTAGAGAGAAACAATAAATGAGGCGATATTTAGTCATATTATCCTTCTTATACTAGACTACAATAACATGACATAGTTGTATGATGCTTATGATGTAAGATTAAATTTTTGTAAAAAATTTCGGCATATTTTCACACTTTATCATATGATTATTATTTACTTGGTTATAATAAAAGAATGAGTTCATTTTCTTTCTTATCCATTATTGTACAATCTCTCTTATAACTATCGTCTACCGATACCATAATTACCTTTCTTTTTTGTTCTTAGTTCAAACCCGAACATACATACTCCATTATAGTCAGTTCTATCGAATTTCTTTCTCGAGATTACATATTGACAGAATGTGTATGAATGTATAAGTTCATAATATGACTTGTTGAATATTTCTAGATGACATCAAATACACGTCCATCATATAAAGAAGCACAAGAACGTCTTTTGAAATGGTGTCAAAGTGTTACAAGAAATTATGAAGTAAAAATTAATATTTTTTTTCATTTAATTAATTATTTTTTTGTCATATATTAAAAGTGTGTAAAAATACGAAATTTTACAAGTGACTTTGCTGATGGTCTAGCATTTTGTGCAATAGTTCATCATTATTTTCCGGATGCATTTGATTTTAATACATTAAATCATGATAGTAAACAAAAGAATTTTGATTTAGCATTTCGTATTGCTGAGTAAGTTTGTTTTTTTTCTATTGATTCATATTTTTTCGATATTCTATTAGAGAAAAAGCTCAAATTTATCCACTACTTGATAGTGATGACCTTATACATGGTCAATTAGACAAGAAATGTGTATTTACTTATTTACTTACATTATATCATGGCTTAAAAAATCACGAAACAATGACAAATAAAATTTTTGAAAAACGGAAATTATAAACTAATCTTTTTTTCTTCTCTTGTCTTTTCCAATATTTACTAAATCCTTCTGTTTAATGTTGATTCCCAAATAAATAATTTTTTAAACCATTTCAAAAATAGTTACTGAGTAAAGCAAAATTTGGATATTTTCTTTTAGCAATTATATTAATTGAATTGTGTTTATTCTTAAAATACAATAATTGACATAAAAGAATACTTGTTATTATTGCTCTTCAATGCAGGCAGTATGATGTATGCATCTACTTATCATAGTATACGCCTCGAGGGAAAAATTATTCTAAACAAAGCAATTCAAAAATACATTTCAGGATACTGGTGTTGTTGCCATAACAACTACATCATAATACTCTTAGTTTATTAAATGAAGATATATACGAAATAAAATAGATTTAAAACTACAATTGCTGATTTTGCTTGATTATATACTGAATATATGTATTTGTTGAATTATTAGAAAATTTAAGCATTTCACAAAAGTACAAACAAAAGCATTACATTGAACGTCTTTCGAAGCATGAAAAAGTTTATAATGAAATAGTATAGCATAGGAAATATTTAGTATGATCGAAGCATCTTCATGGTTCCAATAACAACCAAAAATGCAGCAATGAACATGTTCAAATTCATTGGCATCATTGATCGTGCTGAGTTGCAAAGATCAGTATTGCCTGAAAAATAACACAAGTTATATAAATAAAATAAATAACATCAAGTGTTTAAAACTTACAACAGTAGGTGCCATATCCTCCAGCATTTACTGCAACACAAGCACTTATATATCCTCTCGACACGGTTGCCGCGGTCGTTGCTTTCTAATAAGATTATTTTACGACTTCTTATATCTTTATTTCTTACAAAAGAAACTTACAAAGCAAGAACCAGTGGTAGTGTTCATCATGGAAATACTTGTATTACTTGCCATGAATGGTGTATTACAGAGAGTACAGCTATAGCATTGAAGTCCATTGATTGATATTGGTAGAACAACTACAATACAATATTTACTGATTGTTTATTTTCATACTAGAAATTCTTACCTGTAATACAGAAGATAGCAATTAAAAGACCGTTCATATTTGTTTAAGTTTAAGAAAAACTGAGTAAATATGCTTTCCACTTTTATTCTGAAGACAAAATTGTAAGTAACACCGTTTATTTTATAGTGCAAGTTTTCTTTTGCGATGTTTTTTCTCGCTTTGCAAACATTTTTTTAAATTTTAATGATGCTA